GTAAACTATTTATTTACGGAGTAGATTGAAACTTTTAAAATTACCATTTTAGTCCTTAACTTTTTCAAAGTTTATACTTTGGCCACTTAACTTTCAAAATTTATATTTTGGTCATTAATCAAAATTTGGGGTAGTACATCTCTCTCCTCTTAAATAAAATTGACATGAAATATAGAAGAAAAGGAGAGAGAACCGAAAAAGATGAGGGGGCTGGAATTGAGAATAAAAAGAAGTTAACTTAAAGAAAAAAGCAGAGAAAGAAAAAATGAGGCTTTTAGTTGGAGATTTTTTGGATTCGAAAAACATATAGAAAAAACTGAGAGTTTTTAGTGTGAAAAAAGAAAGAAATATCCGAAACAAGAAAAAAAAAAGAGAAAACAAAGAGCAATTTTCGAAAAAGAAAAAATGTAGTGAAAAGAAACCCATCAAAACCAGAGAAAAAAAAGAACGAAAAAAGAAAGAAAGAGGAGAACTCACCTTTGTCGTTGTTCACCAGAAATCTCATATCTCACCGGAGGTAACCTCTAGATCTAGGTTCGATTGTTTTGGTTTTTTAAGAAAAAAACCATGGATTTGGGTTTTAAAAAGTAAATAAATAAATGAGTGAAGAAGAAGAGTGGCGTGAGAAAAAATAATGAGACAGAGAGAAACGGCGAGAATGAAGTAAAAATGGGGTTAGGATTAGGTTTTTCTTTTCTTGTCAAAAAGGAGTTAATCTTCTCCTAAGGCTTGAAGTCTTGTTGTCTTATTTTGTAGTCATAAGTTATTAATCAAGTTCTTGTTTTCAACTTTAAAGTTTAGATCTATTTTGTTCTAGTCATTATCTCATGATATTCTTATTTTTTTCTTATTTTACTTTTGGTGTATATTATTTTGTTAATTTTCATTTTAGTCCTCCATGATACTTATGGTCATATTGTGGTTCTAATACCCATATTATATGATACTTGCTTGTGCAACCTTGATCCTTGTTGATTTTGATATTTAGCCTTTAAAGTTACCATCTTTTTACTTTGGTCCTTTATTTAAATATTTGTTGATTTTCTTCTTATTGTTTTTCATCTTGCCATGATTATATTTTTAGACCCACTGAGAATACTCCTATTAGTCCTAAAATCCCTTTCCCTCCAAAGTTCCAAAATGCAGGTTGAGTCTTCCGCAAGGATTGTCCCAACATTTAATCAAACAAACAACAAAAGCATCAATACCCGATAATTAAAATGTTGAAATATTGTCCTAAAAAACAATAAGGAGAAGTCGGTATAACCGAAGGTGAAGAGCTCTGTGGAACAACTGGAATTTGAAATAAGAAGATTAAGTTAAAAGATAAATTTATCAGTCCAATAAACTCAGTTCTATCTACAATTTCCCAACTCCCCTGGTCATTCTCTGGTTTTACATTCATATCTGCTATGCTCCAAACTTGATCCTTCTGAATTTGCTCTTGTTTAGTAGTTCATCCCAATTTCTAATTTCTCTATTTCTTTTAAGAATACCGCTTCTCCTACTCATATCGAATAGAACTGCTGAGGCAAACCTTCTTCATGTAAAACCTGCTTGATTTAGATCGGGAGAATCGTACAAAATATATGGCTACTGAAACCCTCACTATTTCAATCAAACTTTTTTATAGAAACAGGGTAGTTCTGGCCGAAGCTGGCAAGGATTTTGTCGATACCCTGTGTGGTCTCCTTATGTTTCCTGTCGGAAAAATTGCACGGCTTGTTGATAAGCATCTGACTTCGCTCCTCAGTTGCTTGAAGAACGGCCTTCGGACCGATGCATGCAAGGATATGCTGCTTCGTCCAAGAAGCGTTCATGAAGAGAAGTTCAAGACCTTGAAGCTTTCCATGGATGATGCTACAGAGCCTACAAAGTATTTCGTTTGTGAAAAAATGGTTTGTAGACTAAAACCCGTTGGTTGGCTCAGTTATTATAGAACTACAAGATGCACTTGCGGGAAGTTGATGAATAAAGAAGATGTGATTCGAGTTGAAAGAAATGTGCTAAAAGAGGAAACTAGGGGAAAATCAATATTCATCATAACTGATGATTTTAGAGTGATGCAAGGTCTGCCAACAGATCTGATTCAATGTGATTTTAGTCTCATAATTATGTCTCTTTGCTTAATCTTTCCAGTTGGCTAATCTTTGAGCCATTTACTTATATCAAAGACCACGCTGACTGATATTTTCCTGAGAAAACAAGGAATTCCCAGCAGTACCCCGATGTCCGATGACCAATTCGTGCTCGTTACACCGGATTTGGAGGAAACTACCAAATATAATGGCAAGGAGAGAACTGAAAATGATGGCAGAACAAGTGTGAAGATAATGCTGAGAAAGTCTGATGGTAAAGTTTTATACGCTGAAGCAGGTGCAAATTTTGTTGACCTCTTATTTAGCTTCCTCACCATCCCTTTGGAATTGGTATTGGGACTCTTAGGAGGGAAGGACAATCTCACTACCGATACCTAATGGCCTCGGCTACTACTTGACAAGTAGTAACAAACACACAAGCAGACCCTTGAAACTGTTGGACCCAAAGTCTCCGAAGCCGAACATTACAAACAGTTCGGGCTATGCCGAGAAATGCTCACTGTTTGTTGTCACTAATGATCTAGTAGTTAAATCACTGACAACCGTTTCTAGTGCATCTTTACTAAAGGAGATGGGGATCTCTCTTGATGAAAAGTTGAAGAGAAAGTTATTATAATTGGAGAAGCTGAAGTAATTTATTACCATTTTGAGATTTGGTCAATCTTAATTTTCAGCTTTCAGTCACTTTATATTTACAATCCACGGTGAAATATCTGTGCTGCAGGCGCTTACTTTATTGAGGGCTTGTTTGTGTTCATCCTCGGCTTTGTGAGCTTTACTGAATGTTCATGTCTAGCAGCCAATGCATGAGCCATCGCAGGAAAAGCTTCAAACTAGTGTTTATTTTATCTTATATTAGTCAAATCCTCAGTTCTAATCTCAACTTTACTATTAAGCAGTGTTTCATTAAAATCTCAAGCATATTGCAACTCCTTGTCTCGGCTTGATTGTCTTACACCCGAAGATTATGAATGATCTGTCAGGGTCTATAAATCAAAGTGATGAAATAAAACGAAATGGCTAAGAGAAACGTGCTAATCTTTTATGTGCTTGAAACAAATGCTATTAAAAGTCCGAAATCATAACACTCTGCATGTATCAGTTTGATCATTCAATATTTCACAGTAAACAAACATAAAGGTTATTGGGGGACAATTCAAATCAATAATCACATTAACACAATATATACAGTCATATAGTAATGAGTCTACTACATACTAGTAAGCTTACTACTCACTACTCAGTACCATCAATTGTACTCCATTGCAACCTTTTTCCAAGACAGTGAACAATAGCACTGAAAAGTATTAATAAACGTGAAATATACAGTAGAGAGATAAAATAATGAACATTAATAGTACTCTAGAATCAATCCGCTAAGTGCGGTATCCTGCCTTCATTATCCATCTATCTCCCATGATATATGTAAACAATACAATACAGTGATGTATGCCAATAACAGTATCCGGAGGCAATACATAAGTAGGATATTTCAATGATTTCACATAACAATAGACACGTTCAACAAATGTATATATATATATATATAAATTCACATGTAATCACGAGCAGAAAGTCATTCAACAGAAGTCATTTTGAGGATTTCAGTAGTACAATACCTCAGGTAACGATTTGCCTATTTCAAATATAGGAATACAATGTGGCTTGTGTTAATGGGGGAACGTAAGGATATTTTTAGTTAAGTTAAGATGAATAGAGCGATTTAGTTTTGTGCTAATCTATAAAGCCTTGTTTGGTTTTTAGGGTGTGAAGAGCTTTGCAAGCAGTTACTGCTTTGTTTTGTGTTCAGAGTCGAAGTGTTTGCAAGTGTTTCTTGTACAACTTTGATAACCTTTATGTGTTCTTTTTCCTCGAGGGATTTTTTTAATGAGACATATATGATCTTGTTAATTTCATTATCTTTAATAAAATGAAGACATTGCAGAACAAATAACAATAATGTAATTATGGTAAACAATAAATTATAGTCTAGTATGATCGAAAGTGAAATATGATAATCGGTATGACACACAAGGTATAATGACTAGTAAAAAACGTCGGAGTTTTGTTTTATCATTGTTTTATCTCATCACCAATTAGTAATCGAATCAACCCTATGTAAATCTCAAAAAAAAGGGATAAAAATAATTATATTAATATAATTATATTAATTAATAAAAGATTGACACAATATCTTATGTTATGAGGTGAACTTATAAAATTGTAGGGAGATCATAAATAACAACATTTAAGCATATCATTGAACCAGTCAACCTTGGTTTTAACTCAAAATTCATTTTTTTCAATCAGGGTTGACGTATAAGTAACAATATATAAAAGATAAAGGTTAGGTGGTGATATATCTTATATCTGGGGTTGTTTTTTTCTTACGTTTGGTATAAAATAAAAGCTTAGAACCCAAGCCACGCCAACATTACAAACAATTGCTGCCTTCACTATTTATTTTTATCCTCTCTACCGCCATTTGTATTTCTAATATTTCTAATTTATCCAATGGAAACACGCAAGGCGTGCAGCCCTATGACGTATACGATATGGCTCTTACACCTTTTTCACGTTCGTCGGCCGTCCTAAATTTATTAATTGTTAAGTCACTTTACCAATTATCGTATAAACCACATTAAGATGATAAGGAATTAAGGATATTAAGATCCAATAACTATATTTAAAGCTTCTTCTCATCATGTAAGCGAGCAAATTAAGAGAACAAAGGGTATTTAGTCGATCAAAAAGGGTATTAACTTAAACATCAACTACACGTTGCACATTTATGCACATTAATCTTTCCAAGAATGACAAACCTTCTTTCCTGTTTCCTATGTGTGTGTATATATCATATCATCCCAGGCTCACCAATCCCACTGCAATATCCGGTTTAAAGTCCAAGTTTGTAAAGGCCAGTGGTAGCTGAAATGGAGATGGTTTGGTGGTGCATATATATACTGGTTGCGGTGCAGGCGAGCATGGCAAAGGCTGGAGAAGACAACGTGACGTACGATGGGAGATCATTAATCATCAATGGCCAACGTAAACTTCTGTTTTCGGGTTCCATTCACTATCCTCGCAGCACTCCTCAGGTAAATTCAAATCATAATTTCTTCGGCCCTTCTCCGTCACTGACTCACTCTCACCTGCATTTGTTTTTCATTCTCCGGCCATCGGCAACCAAACACCACCATTTTCATCATAGCCCATAGACAACTATATTATACAAAAGGCATAATATCAAAATTATCCCCCAACATTTATTTAAATGATCATTTTAACCCACACCCCTTTTTGGGAGTATTTTAGTCCCCAATGTTTCATTTTTTGTCAAAATGACTCATGTTGAATGGAAATCGTTAATTAATTAATTATCAACGCATGTTGTTGACTGACATTTCCATATGTGCTTAATTGTTGAGATGACATGATGCATTAGCAATTAAGCACGTGTAAAAGTACTATGTTAGCAACACGCGTTGATCGTTAGCCAACTAATAATTTTCATTCAACATGAGTCATTTCGAGAAAAAAAATTGAAACGTTGGAGGCTAAAATGCTCCTAAAAAATATGTGTTAAAGAGATTATTCTGAAAAACTTGAGAATAATTTTAACAGTATGACTATATAAAATATAGATAATCTAACACAAACACTTGGATCATGTCGGGATGACGTCAGGATCGAACTATGAGGAGACAAATTGTTTAATTTTAAAATAAATAAGATCCTAGAAAGTAATTAAATCATAAAAATTGAGATATTAAGGATTTAATTTTTACCAATTTTAAAATTTAAAGTTCTTAAAAAGTAATTAAATCAGATAAATTTGGGATCAAGACTTCATTCCATTAATTTTAAAACTACTAGTATCCCAGGCACAATAGTTTTAAAATTTCTAATAACCTAAAATGTAATTTGATCATCAAAATTAGAGTGAACAATTACCCCTCTCACCTATAACGTGGGTCCGTTACTGCGTCACGAGATTACTTAAGGTAAAGGAAAGAACACCACCGCATATATATAGAGACAATGAAACAAGGTCAGGTATTGGAATTTTATACATGAATGAATGAATGCCAACAACAAAAAACAAATCTCACGCTTTTCTTTTGCTTTTTAATACAAACAAACCTCCTCCTTTATTATTGTTCTAAAAGTAGAGATATGAATGGTTACGGTTGTGGGTCACGAGCACATTATTTTTGCTCTTTTCTCTGCAAATGTTTACTTTTGGCTCAATGATCCTACACTTTTTCTGCAAATTGATCAAAAGCAATGAGTTGGTATGCAGATGTGGCCATCTCTGATAGCCAAAGCAAAGGAAGGAGGAGTTGATGTGATTCAAACGTATGTATTTTGGAATATGCATGAGCCCCAGCCTGGTGAGGTTAGAACACAAGCCAATTGAAACCATATTTCTATATAATTACATGAATGTGTATTTCACCAAAGCTTTTTTCCCCCTATTGTTTTGCATTGGGTAGGGCTTTTGGCCAACTCAACCTAATCCGAGAAGTATATACAGCTCATCTAATCTGACTTATCAATAAATTTTGACCCAATTTAAACTTGAATTTCTTTAAAAATCAAAATGACCATCAATTTCAAGTTAAATTATCATTTCTAAGTATTTTTATATAATTTCATGATTATGTATCTCATCATTTTTTTTTTCATTGGGTAGTATGACTTCAGTGGGAGAAACGACTTGGTGAAATTTATAAAAGAAATTCAAGCACAGGGGCTTTATGTCTGCCTTAGGATTGGACCCTTCATTGAGAGTGAATGGAATTATGGGTGAGTTATTTATACCCATCATTTTTCTTTTACAAAGTTTACAACTATTTTTTTCTCTGATCGGCTCACTTTGGTCAAATTTATAAAAAGGTCCTTGTAGTAGCGCTTTTAGTAATTGAGTCCCTCTACTACAATTTGAGCACTTTTAATCTCTTTACTTTCTAAAATATGTATTTTATATCCCAAAGTCAATTGTTTTCTATTAATTTCATCAAATATTTTTATGTATTTTTTAAAAAAATGACGAGGTGATATATATTAACGATTTTCACATATTTAAAAAATAAATAAAAATATATAATACTTATGTAATATAAAAATATTATTAAAGTCTATATCAGTAAATTAATTTTAGTATCTAAATAAAAATTACGATTTAACCACTCATACTCGTGACTTTTTTACTCAAATATACCTAAAAGAAAATTATAATTAAAATAACACATGTTCACAATTAAATCTCGAAATGACACTTTTTAATAAAAATACTTCTTATCCAACACCTTTTAGAAAGTGTTTTGTAGATAAAACGTCTTAAGCTGACATGGTTAAACTCATGAAAAAAAAAACTTTCTATCAGAAACATCTTTTATTCCCAAAAATTACATCTATCGTATAGGCTTCCTTCAAAATATTACATCCGATATCAACATTGACATAGTACTTGTAAAAACACTAGTATACCTTCCCTATACAAGGCTTAAGGATATTTTCGTTTGAAAGAAAAACCTTTCGAAATGGTAAGTATTTGCAACAATCCAAAGATTTCAAGACATACCCACACAATCGAACATTTGAAAATATACACGTTAAATTTGAAGCCAAAAAAATTTCCTAAGTTAAGCGAATGTGTAGGAAATCATCAATATTATTCCCAGCAATGAATTATAAAATCTCAGATAATATATCATTTGAGAGATCATATAAGGATATTTTATATGTCATTGAAAAAGTAAGTGAATAAGGAACACAACAAAATTTCTCTATAGCAGAATGAAAATGATGGAAAAAAATAGAGATAGTGAAGACCACAACTAAACATAACATATGGATAATGCTTAAAATATGGAGAAAATTACATAAATAGTTCTCTTCAAAGGTTAAATAGTTACACCCCTTCAAGAATACGAGTACAAAGGTTCTCTACATAAAGGGAAGGTACGTTTTAGTATAAGCTCTTCCATATTGTAGCAGAGATTCTTTATAGGATCATATTGTCTAATCATTTTCTACAATTGTGTCATATCCTATTATGCTTCAAACATAGAGATAATGACATGAATAATTCTTTACAGAGGTCCAACAGTTACACCCCTTTGAAAATAAAGGGTGTATAGATTTTTTTACATGAAGGGAATACGTATTTCAATAGAAGTTCTTCTCATTTGTAGCATAAATTCTCTATAGTGGGATCTTGTCTAGCCATTTTCGATAATTGTGTCTTATCTTATCATCTTTAAACATGAAGACAAGGATGAGAATATTTATCTACAGAGGTCTAATAGTTTTACCCCATCAGGAATAGGGGATGTAAATGTTCTCTGCATAAAGGAAAGACTTGTTTCAGCAAAAGCTCTTCCCCTTTTGTAATATAGATTCTTTGTATGATCACTTTATCTAATAATTTCTGATAATTGTGTCTTATCTTATCATGCTTCAAACATGGAGAGAATGACATGAATAATTCTTTGTAGAGGTCCAATAGCTACAATCCCATAAGAATAGGGGATGTGGTGATTTTTTTTTTTTTTTTTGCATAAAAGGAATGCTCATTTTCAATAAAAACTCTTTCTCTTTGTAGTAGAAATTCTCTATAAGGTCATCTTGTTTAGTGATTTTTTATAATTATGGCCTATCCTATCCTACTTCAAACATGGAGAGAATGATGTGAACAGTTCTTTGCAAAGGTCCAACATTTACACCCCTCAAGAATAAAAGATGTAAAGATTCTATTCATAAAGAAAAGACTCATTTAAGTAGAAGATCTTCCCTTTGGTAGAAAATATTCTTTACAATGTCATCATGTCTAGCCATTTCTATTAGTTGTATCTTATCTTATCATCCTTTAAACATGGTGACAAGGATATAAATAGTTCTTTACAAAGGTTCAACATTTACAAACCTCAAGAATAAGGGATGTAGAGGTTCTCTGTAAAAAAAAGAAGACTCATTTCAGTAAAATCTATTTCTCTTCGTAGTAAAGGTTATGTGCACGTCCATCATGCTTCAAACATACAAACTATAGCCCCTTATACCCAGCCTGGACGTTATACCCAAATTTAGGCATTTACATATCTTATTCATAAATTTTTTCATATTTAAAATAAAGTTTAAATTCATATATCATATAATATGAAATTAGTCATAAGAAAAGTTCATACGATAAACGTCTATATATCAATATATACATGTATCAGAAAAATCTTATAAAACATATACATAGCAAAATATCGGTAATACATATATATCAAGATGGAAGCAAATACAAGTGTCACCAAAGTATAAAAAAAATGTATATAGAGATATACAATGGTACAAAAATAGGAGTAGTCGGTCCTCCTGATGCCAAGTCTGCTAGCCTACGGTATACTACTATTTGAAAAGATTAAAATTTACAGAATGAGCTAAAAAGCCCAGTGTGCTCCTTACGGTGTATAAAAACATACAAATAAAATACTTCAGTAAAATCAGTTTATCAAATATGTTTTAAATATATTAGCACTACCCCCATCCGATCACCAGAATATGTAGGTTCTCCAAAACCATACACCCATCTATACTTCAGTAAAACCAATTTATCAAACATGTTTTAAAAATATGAACACTACCCCCATCCGATCACCCGGTAAGGGCCTTATACACAAAGCATAAGGACTTGCGGTAAGGACTTACCCTGTGCACAAAGCAGAGGAGCCTACCGTAAGGACTTACTATGTACACAAAGCAGAGGAGCCTACAGTAAGGACTTACCCTGAGCACAAAGCTAAGAAGCCTGCAGTAAGGACTTACCCTGAGCAGAAAGTTGAGGACCTACGGTAAGGACTTACCCTGAGTACAAAGTCGAGGAGTCTGTAAATAATGCAAAGTATTGCAAATTGCCCTAGTTTTTTTTATTTACTAAATGGACTCACTTTCTTTATTCACACAAAGATGATAGAGACAAGACAGCGCGTTCCTAAACCCCGACATAATGCGGTTAGCAAAATTTGATTCCATTTGAAAATTTGATTTTTTTCGATTTGATTCAATTTGAAAACTTTCAAATTTAAGTTGAATTATAAAATAAAACTCGAATAACTTGAAAATTTTGAGTAATTAGTGGATTTATTTTCAAGTTTGAGTTGAGTCCCTCAACTTTGAATGATATATGTATAGCACATATGAAAAGAAGAAGAATAAATATATATGGTTATAGGAAACCGTTTAAATTGAAATCAAATACTTACATAATATTATAAATATTTATAATTAAATTTAAACAGAAACTTGAACAACTCGACTCAACTCAACTCGAAATTTTTTTAAATCAAGTTTGAGTTATAAAACAGAATTTCTAAACTCGAATAGCTTGAAATTTTTTTTGAATCATCTCGATCAAACACTCAACCCTAGCCATGATTACTTATATTATGGATTAAAATTACATGTTGCGGTCACTTTAAGAAAGTGGGTAAGGACTTACCCTGAACCCCAAGAATACAATACGACACATACGAATGGATATAATCATTATCAAATAATGCAAAGTAGAGAACTGAATGAATAATAATAGTACCTGAAATCACATCAGGTTCATCGTGGTCCTGTCGACGTCTACCAGTGTAAACCAATGTAGACTATCTGGCCTCAGATCTTGCTGGACACCTAGGGGTGTTCAAACGGTTAATTCAGTCACCGACCGAACCGAATTAACCATAACCAAATTAATCGAACTTTTTTTAACCGTTAACTAAACTGAAATTTATTTGAAAATTATTAACCAAACCGAAAAAATTTTGGTTAATTCGGTCAATTTTCAAATTAACCGAAATTTTTTAAAATTTTCTAATTTATATAAAAATTGAATATTTTTTAATTCAAAAAAACAATTTACAATTAATTTAAATAATATCTAGATTTTTTAATTAATTAATATTGATTAAGGTTTAAAAGTTATTGGATCTTAAATTATTAATTAGGTTTGAAATGGTTTGGGTTGAGCCTATATGTTATATATTTATATATAATATATTTAAAATTTAAAATTTAATTTCAGTTAATTCAGTTAATTAACCGATTTCGAACCGAATTAACTGTTAACCGAATTCTAAAAAAAAATTAACTGTTTCCCGACCGAACTAATTTGGTGGCCGACTGAATTAACATAACTAATTCGGTTCGGTCGGTTAATTTGGTTAAAACTGAAAAATGAACACCCCTATGGACACCTACTCTGAGAAGCTCGACCTCTACTAGCCGATCCCAATGCTTTCTCCTGACTATGGTTCTCTACTAGAGTCTGAACTGTACTCTGGGTACGAGCGGGAGTACGAGCAGGTGTCTAAACTGTACTTCTTCTTGCATTCACCAAAATTACGTTTTCCATAGTGCTCACAAGACAACAAAGGATGTGATCCAAAAGAACCACCATGAATAAAAGGCGTCAGAGCTAACGAACTTGACGCCACAAGCCTAGAACTTGCACCGCCTCTCTGAAAAGATTTACCCCTGCCTCTTTTGCTAGGGCGTGTAGAAGAGTCAACAGAAATAGAATGCCTCCTGAATCGGTCTCTATCTCGGTCTCTGTCTCTCATGTGCTCCATACCCACTCGTTCTATCTCCTCAGCGGTCTTGGCTATCTCAACCAAGGTATCAAAATTCCCCTCCCGATGGGTAGCAACTGGACTCTTATCTCATATCTGAGTCCATTCTCGAATCTCAAGCACCGGTTCAACCCAGTATCAACAAGTTTAGCAGCATAGTGGATCAACCTGATAAACTCAATCTCATAGTCCATAACATATATCGCCCTGCTCCAAATTCTGAAACGCTTAGCATCGCTCCTGCATGTATCTCTCTATGATGTAGCGACTCTAAAAATATGCCTTGAAAATATCCCACGTCAATTGATTCCCATAAATACTATCGAAAATCGATTACCATTATCGAAAACTCTCTTTCTTTAGCATAGATAGGGCCCCCTTTAACTTTTTCTCAAGCATCAGGTCCATCTCATCCATAATCCTCTCTGTATCTTCCAATCAATACTCAGCGTCAATTGGAGGTCCACCAGTAATGCCCTCGAACTAAACTACTCCAGCAGCTACCAAAGACTTTGAAATCTCGACTACAGACATATTACCAGGGACTCTAGCAACTATCCTAAATATACGAAACACAGCTCTATTGATGGCATCCTCATCCATATCAGTGTCCTCGTCCTCAGTGATGGGAGGGTCTCTCGCAGGTGTAACCGGATTATCTCGAGAAATAAACGGATCTACATGCAAGAGGATCTCAAGGTGACATCGAATCGTCTATCCTAACAGAAGATCGAGTTACTTACCCTTGACCACGGCCACGACCTAGCCTACAACCTCTAACAGCACTCATCGGATAAATCTACAAGGCTCTACGGAAAGAATTTGAACTTAAGTTAGACTGACATCAAGAATCTCAAATATATTTAAAACTCGTAAAATAAAGTGACACGGTTTTTGTAAACATCGAAAGATCTTGAAAATCCAAAATTTAGGACTCATCCACAATCCAAGTGTTTAAAACTAAAGGCTCTTATACCACCAAGTGTAACCCCCTAGACTCGGCCTGGACGATATGCCCAAATCTAGGCGGTTACATATCTTATTCAGAATTTTTTTTTCATATTTAAAATAACGTCTAAATCCATATACAGTATATTATGAAATTAGTCATAAGAAAAGTTCATATGATAAACGTCCATATATCAATATATACATGTATTAGAAAAACGTATAAAATATACACATAGAAAAATACTGGTAATACAGATATATATCAAGACGGGAGCAAAAACAAGTGTCACCAAAGTATAAAAAAAAAAGGTATATAGAGATATATAGTGGTACAAAAATAGGAGTAGTCGGTCCTCCTGATGCCAAGTCTGCTAGCCTACGGTCTGCTACTATCTGAAAAGGTTAAAGTTTACAGAATGAGCTAAAAATCTTAGTGTGCTCATTAGGTGTATAAAAACACGTCGACAGAAACAGAGACAATATGGACATTGGTGGACTCGGGATGATGTAATGAACACGATGGTACGGGAGGTGTAAAAAATGGAGCAACGATCGATGATGAAACGACGATTGAAGTTTTTTGCTAAACAAAGTTGAAAGATGAAGAAAATAGGGTTTCTAAATGAGAAAACTTTCTAGACTTAGGGGTTATATATTCACTAAAAAGAAAATTGGTAAAATTATACTATAGGTCTTTTAATTTTTGATACTTTCTGAATTTGGATCCAAATTTAATCAAAATTTCACTTTGGCCCCTAAATTTAGTTAAAATTTCAATTTAGTCATCAAAAAAAATTTAAGAAAATTTTAGACCCTAATTTGGGGTGTGATATTAACAATTATGATTTTTGGTATAATTCATATATATGATCTTTGGTATATTCATTTTAATAAATACACTCTCAAACTTATAAGCTCTCATCTCTCAAACTCTCTAGCTCTCATCTCTCAAATTTAAAGGCTCACACGATGAATCATTTTTCTACTATTATTTATTACAATGGTTAAATTTATAAAATTAAGTTCAGAGTTGTTTTTAAATCAGAGTAATCTTTCATCATGTCTTTCAAGAGCAGCATCACTCTTGAGGGGTTAATTACGAAGATTTTCTTCAAAATCATATTGGAAATAATATAAGAGTCTCTTCGCTGCATTACAAATTCCCTCTCGCACTAGTTCAATCAACTTATAGAACATTTCATATCTCCAATGACGATGATGTTGATATGATGATTGACGCTCACAACACCAATTTTGTAGGTCATGAAAACATCTATGCACAATTTATTACAATTATGAGGGGTTATATGCCTTTCATTATAGGTAGTTTATCAAGTTGACAACCTAACTTAAGCATTTGGTAATGATTTCACATTATTAATGACAAATTTTGCTAGAGGGATTCTCACTATTACGACGTGGAGACATTCATCAACTACTACATACGATGTTGATTGAGGTATAGCGACCCTCTTGATGTATAATTGATACGCAAAGAGCCCTTCAAGTTCAATGAAGAAGCCTTCCTCTATTAATTTCTTTGATCTCAGCATCAAAATTCGATCAATACAACAATTTGTGCATTATCCTTATGTTGATATGACTTCTAGTTCAATGAGGAGTATTCTTGTGCTGATACATTTGACCTAAATACAATTGTATCTACTCATGATATGATATGAAATATATAGTTGTTTTTCAAAAGCCCGCTTTATGAGTCCAATGATGATGGTGATGAGATAAATTTATCCATTAAATCATAATCCGCTCCAATTAATATAGACTCCAACAATGATGAAGATAACGATGAAGTTCTCACCACTAATCTAGAATTGAAATCAAGATGGATTTTGGGTTTAGAAGACATTTCCTTTAGAACAGTGGCGGAATACAAGAGAGACTAGTGGGGGCATAGTCCCCAAAAAATTTAGAAATTATAATTTAGATCCTTAAAATTTTCAAAAAGTTTAATTTGGCCCCTCAATATTTTTAGAAATTTAGATTACACTTTAAAAATTTGTGAATGTTCCTAATTAAATCCGTCCCATAATTTTTAAAAATTATCATGAAGTCTCTAAAAATTTCAAAAATTCTAATTAGAACCTATTTTGTTTTTGGAAAAAATGCAAACTAAAGCCTTAAAAAATTTAAGAATTTTAATTTAAACCTCTGAATTTTTTTTAAAAAAATTTAAGTTATCTCCCAAACTCTATCACCAACTTTCACTACTTCTATAGAAAATGTCTTTCATGGATGTATCCACATCAACAAAAGGTGTTTTCCACATAAAGAGCCGTTATTATGTATATGAATAAACGCTATCATAGAAGGCATTTTTTAAGAAAAAAAGATGATATTTTGAGAAATAATCGTGAATGTGTATTATTTTAATAATAATTGTTTAGTTATATTTGAATAAAAAGGCCTATATTTGGAGTATTACTTTTGGGTTATTGATTGGGATTGGTAATTGTTGGTTTTAGGGGATTTCCATTTTGGCTGCACGATGTCCCTGGTATTGTTTATCGAACAAATAATGAGCCCTTTAAGGTATCTACTTTTTCTTTTAAAATAATAATAATAATGTATTGCCTCTTTTTTATCTCAAAAAATTCAATAATTAAGATTTTGTTTGATTTATGTTAATTTTTATTGAATTGGTAGCAATCATTTTGTTGTTGTAGTTATACATGCAGAATTTCACTACAAAAATAGTAAACCTGATGAAATCAGAAGGTTTATATGCTTCGCAAGGAGGCCCAATAATACTATCACAGGTAAATTGATGCTCTTTTATTTTCAAAACTGATAAAAACTTTGATGAACCGTGAACTAAATTTGTAGATAGAGAATGAATACCAAAACGTGGAAGCAGCTTTCCATGAAAAAGGAGCTGCTTATGTTAAATGGGCAGCAAAAATGGCGGTGGACCTTGGAACTGGTGTGCCATGGGTCATGTGCAAGCAAACCGATGCTCCTGATCCTGTGGTTAGATTCTTCCACTATTTTATCTTCTTAATTTGTTGGGTAAATTACATATTTAGTGATCTAAATATCATTTTGGTTCCGTTTTGGTCACATACCGTTAACAAATTAACAATGATAATGCTGTGTCAATTTTCATCATAAGATAATGCCGCAGCATCATTGAAAAATAAAAGAAAATTTTGACACATCATTAGTTTTGTTTATTTTTTTAGCAATAGGCGACTAAATCAGAACTAAAACGTAGTATTAGGTATGATTTTGAAAAATAGTTGGGTGACTAAAATAAAACTAAAGTAATAGTTGGGGTGACAATATGTAATTTACCCTAATTTGTTTATAGCCCAAAAGTATGTTACATTATGTATGAATTTGAAAAAATAAATAACTGATGACTAACACAAAACTAAAGTGATAATTGGTGTCAGAGGAGAAGCTACGAGGGAGGTGAGAGGGACAATTCTTAGGGGTGTTCAATCGGTAGATTCGGCCAATTGACTGAACCAAATTTTCTAAAATTCATTAACTGAATTTTTTTTCTTTTAAAAGTTAATTAAATCGGATTTTTTTTAATTTTTTAACCTAAACGAACTTTGTTCGGTTAATCTGTCGGTTAACCGAAATTTATAAATAATATATATATTATATTTAATATTTTTGGTTAATTCGGTCGATTAATTCGATTAAAACTAAAGTTTAAACACTCTTAAAGTTAAGTAATATATAAATAATATATTAAATATTTAATAATTTTTAGTTAATTCTGGTAATTAATAGATTTCAAACCAAATTAATCGACAAACGAAGTTGAAAAAATCCTTAATTGTTAACCGACTAATTAACCAAAAAAATATGTTCAATCGGTTAATTTGGTTAAAACCCCCACACTTTGATGGTTTAATTGGTTTTAGGTCACTAATATTTTTTAAATCATTACAATTAAGCCACTGCCCCTTCCAAAGTCACTTGTTTAATTATATTTTAGGACCCTTTTAGTTTTAAAACGAAATATTGAGTTCTATTTTTTTGTTTTAATTGCTCTTTAAGAGCCTTCAATTTTAAATTAATGAAATTAAATCACAACTTCTTTAAATTTTATGGTTCATTCAGTTTTAAAGATATTATTTATTTCAAAATTAAACAATTTGTCCCCTCATAATTCAATTCTGGCTCCATCCCTGATTCGAGTACTAAATACGTAGTTTACCCTAATCTGTTTATAGCCCAAAAGCACGTAACATTAATGCGTTTGCAGATTAATACATGCAATGGCATGAGATGTGGGGAAACTTTTGGAGGTCCCAACTCACCCAACAAGCCTTCCATGTGGACAGAAGACTGGACTTCTTTGTAGGCTTTCACCCACTTTTCTTTATTCTTTTATTAATTGATTAATGGTGAGTTCTATGACAGCTACTAACTTGTACCTAACTTGTACCTAACTTGTACCCTTATTTTTAATTAAGCTATCAAGTATACGGTGGAGAGCCATACATAAGATCTGCTGAAGATATTGCATTTCATGTAGCACTTTTCATAGCCAAGAAGGGAAGTTACATCAACTACTACATGGTAATCCTGTTATATTTAGGGAGTGTCATTTTACTTGGATTCGACAGGTTTTGACTCAATATAATCTGATATGGTTGGTTTCTTAGTTTGAACGTTCAGGTTTGGATTGAATTTTTAACTGTATGATGGGTTTGGGTCGAGTTAAGATGAAAAAATTCAATCCGATCAGACATATTATTATAAATATCTCTTATATATTTTGAGATAATCACAATAATACTCCTTTCTATTTTTTTTAATTAGATCCTTATTTTACCTCATAAAAATGAAATATATTTAAGTCAGATCGACTCAGATTAAGTACGAGTTTTAATATAAAAAGTTAGATCGGGTTTTGAATCAGATGGGATCCTTCTAAACTCGGTTTGAGTTGAGTGCAGATGAAAAATTTAATTTTCGAGTCAAATTTGGATAGCCCAAAATTCCGACCCGATCTGACCTATAGACATCCTAGTTATATTAATGATACGCACATTTGACTGAACCCTAATCAATGGTTTACATATAATATAGTACCATGGTGGAACGAATTTTGGAAGGACGTCATCGGCCTATGTGATAACAAGTTACTATGACCAAGCTCCTCTCGATGAATATGGTGAAATGGATAACCTTTTCCAACATATATATATATATATATATACATATATCGCGTTGTTCAATGTTAAAAACTGGAATTGAGGTTAACTTACAGGTTTGCTGAGACAGCCAAAGTGGGGTCATCTTAAGGAACTGCATGCTGTGATAAAGAATTGTTCCACACCTTTATTGCAAGGATTGCAGACCAATTTCTCGATAGGTCCACTTCAACAGGTGAGGAATACCCTTTAACCCCAGTACTATACAATTCATTAATTACGTAGTATCAACTACTCATCTCTTTTGGATTAGGCTTATGTTTTTGAACAAGGAAAGGGAGCATGTGCTGCATTTCTCGTAAACAATGATTCCACAAGAAATGCTACGGTCCAGTTCCAGGACAAGGCGTTCGAGTTGTTGCCGAAGTCGATCGGTATTCTACCGGACTGCCGAAACATGGTTTTCAACACTGCAGAGGTGAGGACAATGCCGAATAAGAGAATTGCAACAGTAAGCGAAGTGTTTGATGCAGTGAGTAGCTGGAAAGAGTGGAAAGAAGAGATCCCCAACTTTTTAGATACCTCACTGCAATCCGATTCATTGTTGGAACAAATGAACACAACAAAGGACGTATCAGATTACCTTTGGTACACATTCAGCTTTCAACCCAATTCATCTTGCTCCCAACCTGTGCTTCACATTGAGTCTCTTGGACATGTTGCACATTCCTACATCAACAGCAAATATGTAGAAGCTGGACATGGAAGCCATGATACTATAGGATTTAGCATGGACGTTCCAATTAGCTTAAATGATGGTATGAACAATGTATCAATACTGAGTGTTATGGTAGGATTACAGGTAATCTTTTTCTTCTCACAAATCATATAAGCAAATAATTACAGGATCTAATAATAACATTTGTTTATTCTAATTTGAAGGACTCGGGAGCTTATATGGAGAGCAAATATGCTGGATTGAATAACGTGAACATTCAATGTTCGGGATCAAACTCATATGACTTCACCAATTATACATGGGGATATCAGGTATACATGAAAATTTACATTATTTATTTGCACGGTGTTTTAAAAGAGTTCACACATTTCATTTTTACTTGATTTTTTCAATGTGCATCTAGGGTATGTGTCGTCCTATTAATCTTACTCATAGCATATAATTTAATCTAATCTAATCATATCATATTGGGTTAATATAAAAATAAGAGTTCAAAGTACACCATTTTCCCCAAAGTGGTGTCTAAACTTTTTTTTTCGCTCAATGTAGGTGCATAACGTTACAAATGTTATCATTTAAGGTGAATAGACCATACCGCCGTTAAAAAATTTCGTCAAGTGACACATGTCACGTTCTGGTAATTTTAATTTAAAAAAAAAATTAAAAATATTTTTTTATTAAAAAAGCCAAAAAATTTAGAAATTTTTAAAAAAACCAGGATTTTTGAAAACCCTAAATTCAGTCCTATACCCACATCGACCGTTGCTTTGGCTATCGTTTCGTCGACCAAGCCTACGCCGAACGTACCTCCACCGGATAGTCATTTACCCCAAAAAACCATCCAAAAAAAACACCCCGGCGATGAATTAAACGATAAACCTAATGAAACAACGAACTCGATTCAACTCTCATTGACTCTGGTTGTGGGGGCTCTTCATTAGGAAAATGGTCGTTGGGTGGCGGCGCGGTCAGGTGGAGGTTCAATCGATGGTAGTGACGGCAAGGGCGAAAACCAATTTGGGTATAGGGATTAGATTTCTGACTTTTCAAAGTTTGTGTTTTTTTTTAGTTTTTCAAATTTTAAAATATAATTTTAATTTTTTTAATAAAAAATTCAAAGTTACCGGAATGTGACATGTCTCACTTAACGGTAGAATTTAACGTCCGTTGTGGAATATATACTTAAAAGTAGTAACATTTGTAACATTGGACACATGAATAGACCGAAAAAAGTTTAGACACCACTTTGGGGGAAATATAGTTTATGCACTTTTTTTATATTAAGCCTATTATATTATTTCATTAAACATATATAATAATCTCTCTTGACACTATTTTTTTAATATTCCAATATGATTACAATATAATATATGTTTAGAATTTTCTTAACTTATTAACAATGCACATATAACCTACATACGCAACTACTCGAACTTATATCATCTTTGACATTAATTTTTATTTTATTTTTTTTATTCTATAGATTGGGTTGAAAGGGGAAAAGTTAGAAATATATAAAGAAGAAAATTTAGAAAAAGTGGAATGGAGTGAGATTGATGATTCAACAAATACTTCACTCACTTGGTACAAGGTGAGCTTCAAACCTAGTTTACATTGTTTTCCAGTGTATATATATATATATATATATCAGCAAAACATAAGGTAAATTATGTATTTTGTCAGACCACGTTTGATGCACCAGTAGGAGATGATCCGATTGCCTTAAACATGAGTTCAATGCAAAAAGGACAAGTTTGGGTGAATGAACAAAGTATTGGTCGCTATTGGGTTTCATTCCATACCCCTAAAGGAAATCCCTCCCAAACTCTGTAAGTAATCACTATACCCTCAATATTGGACTCTCAAATCTTCTACTGATAAGTTTTGGTTAAAATTGTAGGTACCATGTGCCTCGTTCATTCCTCAAACCATCTGGGAATGTATTAATAGTGCTTGAAGAGTTGAATGGGGATCCCCTTCAAATTTCTTTGAACACCATTTCAGTTGCTGACTTCAATTCTCCAAATTCTTACAATCATCTCCCTCAGTTTATTTAACCCTTCATCAAACTGTAACTGATGTCTTCTATAAAGCATTTACAATATCAAAATGACAAGTTGATTGGATCAACTCCTCAATTGGCTAATATTTAATGGGGGGTTTTGTTCCCTAGTTATGGTTTGAATTGACTTTCCATTCTTTTTCCAAGTAATTACGTTCAATCCATGCATTCGTTATAATTTAGTTGTAACTTAACATATAACCAATTCTCTTTCTTTCTTAAGCATTACAAACTGTTTTTGCTGTTAGGGTTTTGGGTTTTTATAAATATATATGGGTTGTTCATCTCCTTGTTGTTGCTAAGAATTTTTATTCCTTTCTGAAAAGGAAAGTGGAAATAAGAGGCTTGTTTGAAGAAAGAGGTGACAATGGAAAAACCTGCAAGCAATTGCAAACCCTTGACCACATTTGTGCAAACAGACAGCAACAATTTCCAAGAGATCGTGCAGCGGTTGACAGGTCCATCGGACGGTGATCCAACACAAGCGGTGGCCAAAAAGGATCCCGGTTTGAAAAGGCCGATTTCGAAACTCCATGAAAGAAGGCAAAACATGATGAGGCCGAAACTGGAGATTGTTAAATCCCCGTTGAGCTTTAAACCTGCTACATCACTGGGACGATCGGGAAGCTCCAGTCTTCTTACGAGTCCGGTGGGCACTCCATCATCGATTTTCTCCAAGCTAACATTGCTTGTAGACGAGAAGATTGAAGAATTAGATAAAAGGAAACTGAACACGGAAGAAGAAGAAAAAGCGATCAGAGAGAGACGGTTCTATCTGCATCCGTCACCGCGGTCGAGAGCAGGAAAAACGGAACCGGAGTTACTTGTTTTGTTTCCTCTTACGTCTCCCAGAACAAACGATGAAGCATGATTCTACTGCTGTCTTTCAATGATTGATTATACCATCTCCGTCTGTACTCATAAAACTTGTGAATAAATTTGCTTTATCAATTGTGATCTTCATGTCAAGGCTGAACTTTCTTAATGATGCATGCAACTGTATATAGAAAGTAGTTAACTGAAGTCTTCTGCTCTCGGCTGCCTCTATCCTATTCATCTGTTGAAGTTGGGGAATATCAATTACCACTGGAATCAAAAACTGTGTTCAGTCTATCAAGATTTTGATAAATAACAGTGAAGGATATAGGCATTATAGTGAGTGGTCCCAACCCTAAAATATTTTTTATCAAACTATTTTCAACCCTACAATTTTCTATTGAGAATCCTACTTTCGTCCCTGGTCACAACAAGAACCAGTTCCACCTCGTGATGAGTCCTACAGGCACCCAACACACTGGCATTAGCTTCAACAGACATACCAGCAACCAAAGAATATGCATCATCGATTCTAGAAGATCCACAATGCAAGAATATTGTACAATGCTTGGTTTCATCCCAAGAGAATTCTCTAGTGAATTAAATATTTTCAGTCCATCAACCAGGCCAGCGTGACTCCAACAGGATAAAATTGCAGTGGTGATAACATGATCAGTCTTCAACCCCAACTCAAGCAAATAAGAGTCCTAAAATTCAATAGGTTGGCCTTGGGATGCTGTTGGCAGTGAAATTAGTGATTCGGGTGCGATTTTAATTGCAATGTTCAAAGGGGGAAGCGTAGAAAAATATATCTTATATTATATAATTTGATTTGGAGAATATCTTAGAAGTTCAATAAAAGTTAATTTTGTATAATAATCTAGTCGTTTAACCATCGTTGCAAGATAATAGGAAATAAACTGTTTGATTTGCACCATGTCTAAGCAACCTTATATGTAATTTTGGAGAACTATTTTCATCATTTTTTTCCTTTTATATTACTGAACCAAGAGTCCTGGCACCCTACCGGGCTTTTAATTTTTATATTCCAGTCTTTTAACCTACTTTTTTAGAGTTGTAACAGACATCAAAATCTGTTACCACTTTCTTAGAAACCGTCGTATATCCCTCCGGTTCTACAATCAAGCATTGCCAGTGCTGAAGTGCTGACTTTCGAGCCAACCGGGTTGTACTTCTCCATGAGGTGACTCAATTCAGAATCAAACTCCTTTTCAAGCTCAACTTCTTCCTGCCAATGCCTCTGTCTCATAGCAGCCATCTTCTGTTCATGTACTTTAATCAGCATGTCCCTCTCGCCCGCAAAAGCCTGCATTTCTTGATCCTGGAAGTTTAGGAATTTTGCAATTTCATCCGCCCTACAAATAATTTTTCAAAAGGAAAGCTATATGAATAGCTCTTGACTACAACACAAACAGAAAAGGGCAGCATTTCATCTTATGAGATAAAACTACCTGTTTTTATGTGAAACAGCTACATGCTATAAGGTTACACGTGTTCAATCAAATTACACAACAGACTCACATACCTGCGCCTGTATTCCTCTGTGTTTGAAGGGTTGGGGTTAGATAGCTTGACCTTCTCACGCTGTTGCTGCTGCAGCTTCTCAAAACTCTCTTCCTTCTCATCCCTGGCTTCATGGATAAATTTGATTTGTTCCTGGAAGAATTGCTCTTGGTAATTCATCTGGGAAGATCAAAAGAGGAAATATTTATCATAAGCAGAAAATAGAAAGAATGTTCTATCAAGTAGAAAAATCTTAAGGTAAGACAATCTCATGATCTTCATCTACTTGAACATCAACCAACATGCAGCAGATGGTTTAGCCACATTAATCTGCATACCTTAACTGCAAGCCTAGCAAATAGCTAGTTTTTACCCGGAAAGCATTGGTCCTTGTAATAAAAATGCAATGCCACTTGGAAATTTCATTCCAGATACACAGCAACTTTTACGATCGCCACCACCATCTTTTACTAGTAATAATTAGCGAATGACAAAAAGCTTATTTGCATGAACAAGTTCGTTTGAAGGACACATAGCAGGACGTGGGTACCTCTGTGGCACAACACAAAGTGAGATGGTTTTCCCGCGGGGGGGGGGGGTTTGGTTAAGAGGCATGAGTGTTAAGCAATTCATGACAACCTACAGCACCATCTCATGAAATATCTAACCAGCTATATAAAATAGATAATTGTTTTATCACCTTCTCTTTAGCCTGTAACAAAACGAGCATAGCATGAAAACCTATCTAAAATTGGAACAAAACATACACAACTAGTACACTACATGCTGCACTACAATAGATAGTTTTCCCCCCGGGGGGGGGGGGGGTTAAGAGGAATGAGTTGTTAAGCAATTCATGACAACCTACAGCACCATCTCATGAAATATCTAACCAGCTATAAAAAAATAGATCATTGTTTAATCACTTTCTCTTTGGCCTGCAACAAAACAAGCATATCATGAAAACCTGTCTAAAATTGGAACGAAACATACATAAATAGTGCACTACATGCTGTACTACAAGAGCATGTCATATGCACTCATTTTGAAATCCAGATACTGAAACTAGTCAACAAAAAAACTGCAATCTGGGAACAGAAGACAGCAAGCAATGTTGGTAATAGTAAACTACACGAGACAGTAATACAAGATCCTAAGATGAAAATATTCAAAATCAAAAACCAAGCACGACAAACCATTGGAAGCAAGCACTATTAATCAATCCTTATAAGACATCACAAACCAGTAGGTTACTAATATGTACTATAGTATAAAATTAGTAACTAATACACCAGAACCAAATGTCTGGCAACAGGTATATGAAAATGCTGCCGATTTACATCTCAATCCATACAAGAAACTATCAAGAATTGAAGTAATTACCTCTTCTTTGTTCTGTTCATGCTGCATTTTGGTTCTTTGTCTTACAATCCTGTTCTCTTCCATGGTCTTCCGGAGCTTCTCAGTCACAATACCAAAAGACTCTTCAAGTGCAGTTTTTAGCCTTTTCTCTTTAGCAACTTTGTTCTTGTAAAAAATAAGCTGCTGGTTGTCCTCACTCATTTGCCTGATTTGGTTAACAACCATCTCTTGATAGGATCTCATCTCAAATTTCAGCCTAGATTTGCCTAATCAACAGATCAGTCATACAGCACGTCAACCAACTGCATGAGCATCTACAGAACTACTTATTTGTGAAGAAAAAGATAAAGAAAAATCTCATGTATTTAAAGTTATCTTGCATTTTAACCCTGCATGTATATAAACCATTTTCTTTAGTCAAATAGAGACAGAGAACCTTGAGAATGCTGGTTGAAGCTGTCTAAGTCTTCTTTTGTAGCCATGTAACCATAAAGCTGGCGCTTTCCACCTGGGTAAAATAAGACCCTACGTCGGTCCCAAGCATCCCTGTGTGTTCCTTGCTCAGCAAAATGCTTATGTAGACGTTCAGCTTCTAAATAACCCCTTGCCGTGCTCTCAAAAACCAGAACACTCATTCCACGATGCCCCTGTGGACCATATGAGTGGCGAGCCCTCACAGCAACATATGAGCTGAAATAATCAAGAAGCTCTTGGTTTCCCATACCAGTCCACTGAAGTACAATAGAATTAAAGTCATAGCAGGATATAAAAATAGAGTATTTCTACTGCAATTATAAGCAATTAGCTTCATTATTTTAGTACTGTATCTGAAAACAAAAATTGCATAAAATATAGCACTACCTTATCATTCTCATCTTGTTCCAGTCTTGTGTTCATTATGATAACCATAGGTGGCCAGACAATTTCATGATCCTTTTCTTCATCTTTTAAACCCTTCCATTTCCCAAAAGCTTCACCTGCAGGAATAACTGAAGTACCCCTTCGTAGCAACTCCTCATCCAAGAGTTCAGCAAGTTCACGATGCAGTTTCACCCTTTTTGCTCCTTTTGTTTTGGCATGTGTCACTAGAGGCTGGAGACCTCGATACCAGTCAATGGCACCAGGACCACCATGGCATGCTGGGCAGTGCCACTGCCTTGCTGGGTCATTGATTTCCTCAATGCTCAAGGCATTCAAACTCGAGAAAAATTTCATAAACCATCTATTATTCTTCCTTCTCTCATGGCTCTTTTGACTTGAATCTGAATCAAAGTCATCAGCTAAAAGATCATCATCGGAATCGTCAAAAGCATTATCATCTGAGTCATCCTCGACCTCATCAATATCATTGTCCTCTTCAACCCCAGCACTAACATTGTTTTTCCCATGACCATCTTGTGACTCCTTGGATGAATTGGACCCAGCTCTGGATTGCCAATTCCATCCATACTGGAGAGGCGGGCGAATGACGGGATTTGGTGGCACGTTGTTCTCAGAAGTCTTGTTGAACGTTTGAGGTTTTGCATTCTCTCTGCCAGCTGTCATCTTGGAATCAGTATTATGTGTAGCCCAAGCATTACCAGAGGCTCTTCCTGGTCCAACATTAGTCTGCATGCCTCCCCACGGGTTACTATTGGAATTTTGAGGACCCCAGGGTCTTGGACCACTGCTTCCAGCTCTGTTCTTAGGCTTCCATTGAATAACCTCCCAATCACCATCATCTTGAGGTAAACCCAGATTCATGTCCTCGACGCCCTGGCTTAGTTGTTCAACCTTGGAGCCAGAGAATCCAGATGCGCCTTTCCCCTTGGATGATGGGTTTCCATTCCCTTTTCTTGAACTCATCCTCCAACACAATCCTATAGTAACATATCATAAGATCGACATTTAGACATACAAAACGAAAAGATCAACAACAATTAACTATGAAACGGTGGCCCAAGATACTCAATCACAAGGACATCTCTGTTAATCTTTATTTATAAAGATCAAAACATTTACGCACTGCATTTGCTTCAACGTACGCTTAGCTCATGATACGAAATGTTAAACATGTCAAAACTTGACACGAACAAGACAAATTTCACGCAACAAGAAAAGACTGACACTAGTATAACAAGATTAACACGAATGACATCTCTAACCTGTATAAAATGAGACGATAGCAAA